AAATTATAATAAATATAAATTATTTAATTTAATTAATCTAAAAATAGCTAATCTAATTTAACAGTAAACATGTTTTTTTTTTATGTTTTGTATTTTAATAAACCATCTAAATAAATTAAACTATTAACCTAAATAAGCTAAAAAAGGCCAATTAAAAAAATGAATACTAAGAGGTGTGTGAATATAAAGACATGGTCCAAGATTGAGAGGCCCAAAAGAGATAAACTAATTCTAATATATACATATAAAGAAGAAATTAAAATGGAATTAAAAATATAGGAAATTGGATGGAAGGGGGCACCCTATTTTCTCTCAATGGTCAGGAATGAAAAGAACAATAAAATATGAAGCTATCGTCTGACTTTTGAGGTTTAGATAAATACCCAATGAAAGATGGCCATTAAAATAGCTAACAATTAAAATTAATAAAAATAAAGAAATTAACAAAGAGTAAAGATGGGGGACACTACGCGTGTTAGGTTAATTTAATTATTTATTTTTTAATCTATTTAAAAGACTTAGTCTTTATAGATGTTGTTAGTGTTGTTAGTTTGTTTAGTGGGTAGTTAATTTTTAGGAATTTTAAGTTCGTGGTTTGTTGAATTGTTCTGCTATACTGCCTATTTATAAGGCTATCTATCAGTTGTATCAAGAGCTAGGTTACGTGAGAGGGAGTGCATTGAGAGAGAAACACTGTGAGGGAGAGAACCAAGAAATTGCAGAGTTATTTTTCTTTTAGCACACATGGCTTCCGACAATAGCTTTGTGCAAGCTGCTATCCCCCGCTTTGATGGTCACTATGACCATTGGAGCATGCTCATGGAAAATTTCTTGAGGTCCAAGGAGTATTGGCAGGTTGTGGAATCTGGAGTACCAGAGATAGGAGATGAAGCTGCATTGACTAATGCACAAAAAGAAGAAAGAAAAGCTTTAAAGTTAAAGGACTTAAAGGCAAAGAATTACCTCTTTCAAGCCATCGATCGAGCGACCTTGGAGATGATTCTTTGCAAAGATTCCTCCAAGCAGATTTGGGACTCTATGAAAATAAGGTATATGAGAAATGCAAGGGCAAAACGTGTGCAACTGCAAGCACTTCAAACATAATTTGAAACTTTGCAAATGAAAACAGGTGAACCTGTCGCTGATTATTTGTGTAGAACCATGGCAGTGGCTAACAAAATGAGAGTTAATGGAGAAAAAATGTAGGGCGTGAAGATTGTAGAGAAGATTCTTCGGTCAATGACGCCCAAATTCAATTTTGTTGTCTGCTCTATTAAATAATCAAAAAACATTGATGAACTGACACTTGATGAGTTGCAAAGTTCTTTGTTGGTTCATGAGCAAAAAATCATCCAACAGGATACTGAGGAATAAGATTTGAAGGCTTCAACCTTTAAAAGTTCCGATATAGGAAAAGGGAAGTGGAAGGACAAGAATCCATATCACGAATCAGATGAGGATTATGCATCAGATATGCGAAAGGGTAACAACTACCGTCAATTCAGAGGCAACAAGACAAATAATGACAAGTCCAATGTTGAATGTTTTCGATGTCACAAATATGGTCACTACAAGTCTGAGTGCAGAACCAAATTGCATCATGATCATGGTCATAAGTCTAACTATGCGGAAGAAAAGGAAGAAGATATTTATCTCTTGATGGCATGTCACAAGGAGGAGAAAATCCATGGAAGTATGTGGTACTTAGACACAGACTGCAGCAACCACATGTGCGGGGATAAATCATTGTTTTCAGACTTGGATGAATCATTCTGAAGCACTATAAAGTTTGGAGATAGCTTTACAGTTTCAATCATTGGCAAAGGAAAAGTCAAAATATATACAAAAGATAACACAAAACATTATATTGGTAATGTTTACTTCGCCCCTGATTTAAAAAATAATCTTCTTAGTGTTGGACAACTCCAGGAGAATGGATTTAAGATTAATATCAAAGATGGGGTGTGTTGTATCCAGAATAAAGAAAAGGGTTTGGTTGCTGAAATAAACATGACATCAAATCGCACGTTCTCGCTACATTTCCGAAACACATCCCAAATTAGTATTTCAGCGAAATTGAAAGATGAGTCATGGCTATGGCATTTTCGCTATGGTCATTTGAGCTTTGGAGGATGGCAAACTCTCCAACAGAAGAATATGGTGAAAGGTTTGCCACTGTTTCAAAGACCATCCCAAGTTTGTGAAGAATGCGTTGTTGGAAAGCAACATCGAGAAACTTTTCCAGTAGGAAAATCGCGGAGAGCAAAACAAGTCTTGGAGTTGATTCATTCTGACATATGCGGGCCAATCACTCCAACCTCAAATTGCGGTAAACATTACTTCATAACGTTTATTAATGATTTTAGTCGGAAAACATGGGTTTATCTTTTGCATGAAAAATCTGAAGCTTTATCCGTCTTCAAACAATTTAAGGCACTTGCTGAAAATGAAGCAGAGATGTCAATTAAAATCCTATGCAACAATCGTGGTGGTGAATACAACTCACGAGAATTTGTAGATTTTTGTGAGACACGTGGAATCCGGAAGCAACTTAAAACAACTTACACACCACAACAAAATGGCGTCTCAGAAAGGAAGAATAGAACCATAATGAATATAGTTCGAACAATGTTAAAGATGAGCGAAATGCCAAAACGTTTTTGGCCAGAGGCGGTAACCCGGAGCATTCACTTGCTGAATAGAAGTCCCACATTTGCTGTCAATAATATGACACCCGAAGAAGCATGGAATGGATATAAGCCAAGTATTGAGCATTTGAAAATTTTTGGTTGCATCGCATATGCTCATGTTCCGGACCAGAAACGAAGAAAGCTAGATGACAAAGGAGAAAAATGCACATTTCTTGGTGTAAGTAGCCAATCAAAAGCCTATAAGTTGTACAATCCATCCACCAAGAAAATCATCATTAGTTGTAATGTGAATTTTGATGAAAGCAAGTTCTGGCCATGGAGTGATGACAACATTGAGCAGAAAGTCCAAGTTGATTTTAATGAAGAAGAAGGAGGAAAAAGTCAGCAACCCACACCAAGTTAGATTACTTCCACTGTTTCTCCAAATTCTGATGCGAATCCAGATTGCAAAATTGAAGAAACTAAGAGGCGAACTCAACGTAATAGGAGAAGGCCTGCATGGATGTCCGACTTTGAGGTAAATGGCATTACCAAGGATCCACAAATTCATTTTTCACTATTTGCAGATTGTGATTCTGTAGATTTTGAAGATGTTGTCAAAGAGTCTAAATGGAAAGAAGCTATGGATGCTAAAATTGAGTCTATTGAAAAGAATAATACTTGGGAGTTGACAGAACTTCCAAGAGGACAAAAACCATTGGTGTTAAGTGGGTTTTCAAAATGAAGCTGAAAGAAAGTGGTGAAGTCGACAAATATAAGGCACAATTGGTCGCAAAAGGATACAAGCAAGAGTATGGTGTCGATTATAAAGAGGTTTTCACTCCTGTTGCACGCCATGATACAATCTGGTTGGTGATTTCTTTGGCCGCTCAACATTCATGGCCTATTTACCAATTGGATATAAATTTTGCGTTTCTCCACGGCGAGCTAGAAGAACAGATATTTATTGATCAACCTCCTGGATATGTAAAATTTGGAAGTGAGCACAAAGTTTACAAATTAAAAAAGGCATTGTATGGAATAAAACAAGCTTCAAGGGCTTGGTATAGTCGTATTGTGCTTATTTTTCAAAGGAGGATTTTAAAAAATGTCCATATGAACATACGTTGTTTTCAAAGTTTGGAGATGAGGCAAAGATGATTATTGCTTGCTTATATGTGGATGATTTAATTTATACTGGAAATGATAGTGTCGTGGTTGAAAATTTCAAGTAATCCATGATGTGTGAGTTTGAAATGTCTGGTCTTGGAATGATGCACTACTTTTTGGGTATTGAAGCGGTTCAATCCGATGCTAGAATATTTCTATGTCAAAAGAAATATGTGCAGGATGTCTTGGACAGGTTCCAGATGAAGCATTGCAATGCTGTAAACACACGAATTGAGGTTAGTTTGAAACTGGCAAAAGATTTCGAAGGAAAAGAAGTGGACAACATTCTTTACAAAAAGAATCGTGGGTAGTTTAATATACTTGACAGCCACACGACCGGACATAATGCATGTTTTTTCTTTAATCAGTAGATATATGGAACGTCCAAGGGAGGCATATCTTCTTGCTTCTAAAAGAATTCTCAGGTACCTTCGAGGTACTAAGAATTTTGATTTGTTCTATAAGAAAGGAGAAAGGACAAATCAGTGTGGGTTTAGTGACACTGATTATGCAGCAGATGTGGATGATCGAAAGAGTACTACGGGATATGTGTTTATATTTGGTTCTGCTGTTATTTCATGGTCTTATAAGAAGCAACCAATTGTCACTTTGTCAACAATTGAAACTGAATTTGTAGCTCTGAAAGCATGTGCTTGCCAAGCCATTTGGCTCAAGAGAGTTCTTGAAGAACTGCACTTTAAGCAAGATGGGGAATTAGTGATTTATTGTGATAATGATTCTACCATCAAACTCTCTATAAATCGTGTTTTATATGGAAGAACCAAGCACATAGATGTGAGGTTTCATTTTCTAAGGGATTACACAAAGGAAGGTATAATCGATATCTTATACTGCAAGAGTGAAGATCAGATTGCATATATATGACCAAGCCACTGAAGTTGCCTATTTTTTTGAAGCTCAAGAAGTTATTTGGAGTCTGCACACTAAATGAGACTTAGTGAACTGAAGCTGAAGGGTTTCCGTTCAAGGGAGAGATTGTTAAGTTAATTTAATTATTTATTTTTAAACATATTTAAAAGACTTAGTCTTTTCGGATGTTGTAAGTGTTGTTAGTTTGTTTAGTGGGTAGCTAGTTTTTAGGGATTTAAGTTTGTGGATTTGTTGATTTTTTCTGTTGTACTGCCTATTTATAAGGCTATCTATCAGTGCAGAGGCATCATCTTCAAGGCTGATCGGCGGCTAGTCGTCGGGTTTGAGCTTCGGCTTCGTAGGAGATGCGGTTGTTAGTCGAAGCTTTTCTGGCGTAGTGTTCTTCTGCGTGACAGAGGGAGCTGGTTGCGCGTTGGTAGTTCTGGAGCAGGTGGATGGTTGGGAGTCTGTTTGAGGACGCGATTTTACCAGAGCTGGTGGTGCGAAAGTGACAGATGCGGTTTCGTCGAATTCGCGTTTTGACGGGACGTCAGAGGGATGTGATGTTGTGAATGAAGATGAAGTGATCGAAAATGGATGCTTGGATTGGATTGGCGGACGAGAGTCCAATTGGGGCTGAAGTCGGAGGTGCTGTGACGTCAGTCTGTAACGTCGTTTGTGCATGGACTGTTGGCTGAAAACTTCTTCTCTCTTTCCTTACTTTTTGTTCTGTTTTTGCATTGTTGCTTGTCATTTTGTAATGTTTTTGTTTGAATTGGAAGAGTTTGGATTAATTTATGTTGGAAGGTTCGTGGATGTGGTTATGGTTGAAGAATGAAGATAATGACTTAGTTGAAGAATGAAGATGATGACTTGGTGTGTGTACATGTACAAAAAGGTTCTGTGTGAAGAAGTGTGTAATTGTTGATGGAATAGAATATCGTGAAAAAATGTTAGTGGAAAATATCTATAGCAGTGAAAGTGTGTAGAATATGTGTGGATGTTTGTACCGTGAATGAGTTGGTTTCTAATGAGAAAGATTGACATCTCTTACAAAAATTAGTAATAATAATTAAAACAATTATATCATTAGATATATGTTTATTCATACGGTAAAAAGATGAAAGGGAAACCATTGAAAGTAAAAAGGCGTCTCATATGAAAATTATTGGTCAAAATAAAGATTAAAGTTTTGAAAAAAAAGAGTTTGAAAATAAATTGTATTTGTGAATGTAAAGGAAGTGTGTGTAAGAAATTGTAGAATCATGGATGTGTATGATTGTTGATTATCATGTGTAATTGTTTGTTCAACACAAATATGAAAATTATTGGTCAAAATAAAGATTAAAGTTTTGAAAAAAAAGAGTTTGAAAATAAATTGTATTTGTGAATGTAAAGGAAGTGTGTGTAAGAAATTGTAGAATCATGGATGTGTATGATTGTTGATTATCATGTGTAATTGTTTGTTCAACACAAATAGATCATTGTTGATTATTGTGTATGTATGAAATTATGGTGAAAAGATATTTATTTATAGATTAGAAATTAAGTTAAAAAACATCAAAAATAATAGTATTCAAACTCTGATCTCATACTTTTAAGTTTTGCTCTCTTATCAATTATATTGTTTCATTTATTTGAAATAAAAAGTCAATTGAAAATATATAAAGGTTGAACAAATATTTGTTATTTAGAAAATACAAATAATTTAAAGTAAATTATTATATATATTTTAAATAAACAAAATAAATCAATGTTAAAATGTTGGTATAAATAAACCAATTTTTTTATATAAATTCCAAGTTTAAAATAATTTAACTGTTAGAAATACGGCGGATAAATTTAGAGTATGACAAGGGGCAAAGCATCAATTATGATACCTGAACAGTGGATGCTCACGATATATTACAGGAGAAAAGCGTATGTTTCAAACCCTCACTTTGAAAGAGGGGGGGGGGGGGATGTGGGATTTGGAAGAAACCCGAAAAGCAAGATCATTTGTATGGGTACTATTAGTAACTCCTCCATCTCTATCAATAATGTTTGACTTGTAGATGGTCTAAAACATAACCTACTTAGCATGAGTCAATGTTGGAACAGTGACTGTGAAGTGGTGTTTAATAAGAACATACGTATAGTCATTAATGATTCTAGAATGTCCATAGTGTTCAAAGGTAAGAGAAATGGCAATATTTATGATTTTTTTTTTGAATTGGTTGATCAGAATGTGCTTTAACTTCAATCATTTAGTGATGAAAATGGCTTTGACACATAAGAATAGGTCATATGCTAATTGGATATTAATCTTTAAATTTCTTAGTAAGTTAAAACTTATTAGTTGTTTTCTAGACATTAATTATCACTCATATGCTCTTTGTGGAGCATGCCAAGTAGGAAAATCTCTAAAACTGTTAATTCTCTAGTTTTATGATCGTCATTGTTGTACCCAAAAATTTGTCCTCTCATTTTTCAAGATTTCTCTCGCATGTGTGATTACAAACACATGTTTGAAGAAATGAAGAAAATGATTTTCTTTGAAGATGGCAAGTTGTTACTTCGACTGGTCGAAGGAAAAGAAAAATTAAAGATGTTAATATGTCTTTCGACGGATCGAAGGTGATGGTCGAAGGAAAAGAAAAATGAAAATTGAAGATGTTAATGTGCCTTTCGTCAAGTGAAAAGTTTGCTTCAAATCCACATCCTTCGATTGGGCATCTAGGCTTCCTTCGAGAAAGCTTGAGTCATCCTTCGTTTGGGGCATTGGTTTCCTTCGAAGCAACCTGCTTCGAATCAACCATCATGCACGCTTCGAATTCCCCTCTAAGCTTGCTTCGAACCCTCTTGCATGCAAGCTTCGATTGCACCATTGGCCCCTTACATGTTTGCCTTGAGTCACAAAGCAGTGACCTCCTGCATGCAAGCTTTGATAGGGCTTTGACTCTTCATTCAAACCTTCGTTTGAGCAATAGCCTCTTGTATGCTTGCTTAGAGTCACAAAGCAGTGACCTCTTGCATGCATGTTTTCGACAGGGTGTTGCACCCCAAAATTTATCCTCTTGATTCAGGCTTATGTTCCATCATAAACATCATATTGCATTGTATTTATACACGGTGATAAGATCAAAACATTCTGGTTATCAGGTCTCCCTCAAGCTCTGGGAGTTATTTATGTTGATACGTTGCTTAAGGAGAGCCTTATTATTTAAATCTTTGGATCTTTCTAGCCCAAGGTATTCACATATCTCAAGGTAGCTCATCCATTTCATTGAATCATTAGAAGATTGAAGATTGTGTTGATTATAAGGAGAATCACATCCTTTTGTTTCATCAGTCAAAATTAGGGTTTTGGTTGATTGAGGCTATTGATGCACGAGTAAGTCTTGTTTTTGAAGTCACAACACCAATTTGACATTGGAGATATATTTGTGCAAGAAATTGGCCAAGATATCCAGAGGATTTGAAGTTTTGAAGATGGTCCATCATTCTCCTAAGGTGTTGACCAAAATTAGGGTTTGGGATTTCATCAGGTTTTCTTAAGTATTTAGAGATGAATCTGAAGGGGTGAAAAACACAAGAAGGGGGGGTTGAATTGTAAAACTGAAATCTAAAGCAATTGACAAGATATTTTTATCCTGGTTCGTTTGATCTCAAACTACTCCAGTCCACCCGTCAAGGTGATTTCGCCTCTCTCCAACGAGGTCTTAATTCACTATATTCAACTGAATAATACAGACTGCTTTAACAACTGCTAAAGCCTTCTTGATTCAAACCACAATCCGGTTTGTCAAGGCAACACTTTCTTACAAAGGTATAAAACAATGTGTGTGAATGTTTTCTACAAAACTTTATCACAACTGTGATGTATACACAAAATGAAGCTTAAAAACTAGATTGCTAAACTGTAATGAAGTATCAGAGTTTGTGGTTTAGCAAAACTGGTAGATGAAGATTATGGTTCAGCTTTGTGCGTGTAGAGATTTGGAGAGCATTAGCCATTATAATCTTCAAAGCCTTGTTTATATAGCACTTGAGAAGATGAACGTTGAATGCAATATTCTTGATTCAATGCTAATAACAAGCTTTCCTTTTTGAGCAGATCTTGTCTAGAATGAGGCCGTTGGGATTAATTAGCTTTCAATGCACAGTACCGTTGCTTCTTCAATGCACGTTCTGGCTTGGCTCATTCTGATTCTGCTTCGCTGCTGATGAACTATTGTGTTTCTGTATCAGAGTGTTTACGCGCAGTTCTGTTCATCAAGCTTCAGCATGTGCGTGAGTTGATTATCTGATCTTGACATTCTGATGTAGCAACTTCTGATGCTGGTGTGTGAAAACAAATTCTGATGTTGAAAAGACATGATCTTGCTTATACCAATCAGAGTATCTGCAAGTCAGAACATAATAATTTTAGGCAGCATATAGTTCATTCATGAACCTTATAAATACTATATCTTTTCACTTTGTTATCATCAAAACTTAAATATAGGGTAGTAGATTCAAACATTGTTCTAACAATCTCCCCCTTTTTGATGATGACAAAAACTAGATATTTTAAATGAAAAATAACGTGAAAAGGTATCTGGATATGTATTAGAATAAGAAGTACGGAGAAGTCAGAGTTAAGAGATACTCCCCCTGAGTTTGTTACTTCCCTTTGATATACGTGTTCTTCAGGATCAGATCTTTTTCTTTCTTTGAACATCAGATTATAAGAGTCTTTGACTTATCAGAGAGCAGAGCTTCAGAGCTTTTCCTGTCAGAGCTTTGCTTTGGATCAGAGTATTAGGTCGATCAGAACTTCATATTGATCAGAGCAACATTGATCAGAGCTTCTACATTTTGATTAGATCTTCTAGTCTTCAGAGTGTCCAGGAGCTTCCTTGTGCCTGTAGACTTCAAACAAAACAGAAAAAAACATTTCAAGTAATAGAGTTAGAATGTTTGAGAATTTCTGTCTAGTTAGCCCGTTATTGATTTAAATATCATTCTTGTTCTCCCCCTTTTTGTCAGCAATCAAAAAGTGTTGGTGATGTGCTAAAACAATTTGATCAGAAAAACTAATCATATTAAGATAGTTCAGAATCAGAGGAAGAAAATATTACAAAGCATAGTCAAAACAGTACATCAGAAAATGAAGAAAACATGAAAAAGTTATGCATGAAAAAGATTTAAGGTTGAGGGGGCATGCGTGAGAACAGGCTCTCCAGCATCGCTTGAATCTTTTCAGAAGTTTCATTCTGCTTCTGAACCATGTTGACAACAGTGTCAATCTTGTTGTCCTGCACATCCATTCGTGCTTTCATCTTCTGATCATTCTCTTCCATCCGCTGCTGCTATGTACTCAGCTTCTGCTGTTGACAGAGCAATTGTTGATTGCCTTTTGCTGGACCAAGAGATCAGATTTTCTCCCAGAAACTGGCAGCTTCCAGAAGTACTTTTACGTTCCACTCTGTCTCCAGCAAAATCAGCATCGCAGTAGCCTACTAAGCTGTAATCACTAGATTTTCTATAAAACAAACCCAGATTAGTAGTACCTTTCAGATACTTGAAAATTCGCTTAACAGCTGTTAAGTGAGATTCTCTAGGATCTGATTGGAATCTAGCACAGATGCAAACACTGAATAATATGTCAGGTCTTGAAGCAGTCAGATAGAGGAGAGAACCAATCATACCTCTGTAGACTT